CCTCTGGCTGTACTCCAGGAGTCGCGGTTAAGGGGGGAGCCGTTGCGAGGCCTGGGCGTGGAGCTGTGTCCAGGTGTCCGGAGCGAAAGGTTGGGGGCAGGCAGGTTTAATGTATTGCAAATACCGGTTTGTTGTCTGCTGAGCTGAGAGTGATACGTGGAGGAGAAACGGGACTGGAGGAGCATCTCCCCTAGGTGAGGCTGAGAGAGCTGGGACTGCTCAGCCTGGAGAAGAGAAGGCCCAGGGCGTTCTCATCCATGACTACGGGTACCTGAAGGGAGAGTGCAAAGAGGACGGAGACAGGCTCTTCTTGGTGGTGCCCAGAGAGGTTGTGGGCACTCCACCTTTGGAGATATTCAAAAGCTGCCTGTCTGGGCGTGGTTCTGGGTGGCCCTGCTTGAGCAGGGGAAGTTGGACCAGGTGAACCCCAGAGGTCCCTGCAAGCCTCAGCCATTCTGTGATTCTGTAATAAATTAATGTGTATGTGTGCATACATACAGTATGTGTAGTAATAACGGAAAAAAAACTTCCTTGCTTATTTTTAGTGTCTTTTTATTCTTGTCTGTTGACTCTACCCTGTGTGAGTCAACTTACAAGAAGGACTGATTTATTAAGTATTATCTTTCTCTGTCTTTGTAAAATTAAGCTGATTTCCAGAGTTGTTTTTTTTTTTAAATATAGCTAATTTCACAAAGTAAAAATATTTTTTAAAATGCTAAAGCTTTATAAACATTTGTAAAACTTTCATATAAATATTTTGCAGAGTCCGATGGTCCTTTTCAAGCAACTCAGCTGTGGAATAGTATTATTCATGCTCTTTACAGTCAGGTGGAAATCAAAAGACGTAGACAACATCTGAGAACACATAAAAACTGTTTCACCGGCTCAAATGCTGTTGATGTGGTACTGAGCCATCTTATGCAAAGCATGTACCTAAGCTGCCATGATATTTCTCGGCTGAAGGGAGTCCGTGTGTGCCAAGCATTGATGGATCACAAGGTGTTTGAGCCAGTTGGAGCAAAGCTTTACTTATTCAAGAATGAGAAAGAAACAGAGTTTGAAGACACAAACGCTAGTCTCTATAAATTTGTAAATAGCAGTCTTACTCCTCTTCTTCCAAGAAAGAATAAACACAATGAGAGCTTGTCTCCTGAGCAAATCTGCAAACAGAAGACAAAAAGGCATCCCAAGTGAGTTACTCTGAACTATTCTGATTTTTTTTTTTTTTAAAGTTAAGGTGGGTTAATTGTAGATGAAGTTATGTCTGTCTAACCCAGGTATTGGAGACTTGAAAACTACATGCCAGTTTTGAGAAATGTCATGTCTACATTGCAGATACTACCTAATATTTCTTGGTAATGTTAGACTGCTTTGATCTGCCCTTTGCTATTTAGAAGAGAGTCTGGCACAGTAGCATAGGCCTAGGAATCATTTTGTTTTGTAACAATTGTTACAATATGAATTTCACTGACAATCATCAAATGATTTTTAGAAACTCTGACATGATGGTTCACAGAAAATATACGGCTAGATGTTCTCAGGCTGTTTTCTGAAATTTGCTGTATTTTGGGTTATCTTTGAGCCTATGTAGAATTCAAGCAGTACACCCAATTCTCTTCACCTACATACATGCCTCCCTTTAATGAACCTCACTCAGCTGCTGCTCTGTATCACTGTGAGCTTCCTCTGTCACATCCCAATCACTTTAATGAGAAAGCAATTGTAATTGTGCTGAAATCTGAGAATTAGCGTGAATGAGCTACTTGCTGGAAGCTGGTAAAAGAAATGGAACTAATAAACAGTATTTGGAATCAATATCCTTGCCCTTTCCACAAAGCAGATGTGGATGATTCGTTTTCTAGCAGCAGGGTAGACCTCAGATACAATGAAGCCCTAAAGTCCTGATTAACAGCAATTTAGGAAGTGACAGAAAGATAAATGTGTCCGGATTGTATTTGTTATACATCTAATTTTTTTTTTCCCGTAAGCAGAACAAAGTGTGAAACAACACTTTCAAACCCCTTAGCATTAGAAGCAGCTGATAAAAAGAGGGTAGAGGAGCTTCTTCAATCAATAAATGTTCATGCTTCTTTACCTCCAAAGGTCATGGTTAATGAAGCAACTCGTCTGCTTTCAAAAAGAGGTGAGGACTGAATTTTTCTTTTTAAAACTTGATTGTTCTTCACTCTATCTATTTGGAGTACCTCATTTCTTGAAACGCTGCCCTTCAGAGCCCTAAATTTAATATGTCACTAAAGACAAAATAGCTAAATGAGTGCTAAACGGGTAAATGCTCATAGTAAACTGAAGGAAACAAAACAGGATTAAGTTTTTGCAGGATGGTGCTATTCTATTTATGCAAATACCACTTCAGAAGAAAATAGATGTACTTAATCTTAAAACCTGTATTATACAATTCCTTTGCTATTCACTTGCATTTTCTTGTACATATTACTAATTAGAGTAGGTTATTACTAATTCTAATATGATGGGGGAGACAGATGTTCTTTTTAAAGCCTTCTTTCTTAGCATTCCTATTTTGATCCCTTCTTCCCCAACACAGAAACTTCACACTATGTGGTTACCTTGTTTTCTTTGAACACTCAAAATATTCTTGAGTGAAAACAAAGGTTAGTGTTTTATATAAGATCTTATTTCTGAGGATGTTTTTTTGTTTCTTTATGGCATCAGTAATAGAAGATGTCTGGAAACAGCAAACTCTGCTACGACTGCTACAGTTAATTGATATTCCACTTCTAGAAGACATCTTGGTGTCTTCAGTGAAGACAAAACCGGACTGTTTTGGCAAAGAAGATGACCTGATTATCTCAAATACTTTCCTGGACAGAGAGGTTACATGTAGCTTAAACTTGCCTGAGTAAGTTATACCTCTATAAAATGGATTTGTTAGTAAATGCTTTATTTTACTCAAAGATTTGTGTTAAGTGAACAAAATAGACATCGTTACACTTGTATACTTGTAGACAGGGCTGGCATTAATGTACTTTCCTTTGTTGATTTATTTTCAGAAGTAGTAAGGAAATTCACAAAAAGTATATGTTTAGGATTGGATATTTGATGATTTTAAGTATACATTAAAACTTTAACCTCAAGTGTCAAACACTCCTAGTTTCTAGACCAGACACTTCACTCTTTGGTCTCTAAAACAGATATTAGAAAGTGAAAAAACTTATTCTGAGGCTTTTTGTTTGTTTGTCACAGTTCATGGTGATAGTGCTGTGAAGATATAAAGTCAATAAAGCATCTATTGTTAGCAACAGAAAAGGAGAAGCTAAGCTGTAGCACTGCAGAATGCTTATATCATGAGAACGTAAAAGTGAAAGTGGCTGCATGTCATCAGTGCTTTTTTCCTTAAATGTTCTCTTATTTTTGTAGTGTTCCTGTTGATTGCGCTTGGGCTGATCTCTGTCTTAACATGTACTTTTAATGAATATGTCAAGGCATGTCTCCTTGTGTGTATGTCTTAGTAATGCTTATTTCTGACAAATCAATACAATTATTATCTGTTTGTGAGATAGAGTCTCTTTAGGTACACAGATTGACCTCAGTCTTACAGTTTTTATGTATTCTTGCTTTAGGGAGCAAAAATGTATTTTTACATATATTTAGAGTTTTATATAAGCTAATGAAACTCCTGGTTCCAAACTAGGTTTATTGCTGGATAGCATCTTAACTCCATGGGTTTTTCCTCCCAGAATGCCTTAATGAACACTGTTTCTTTTGAGCTTTGTACTTCTGTTGTAATTGATTCTTGGGTGATTGGTGGGTTTGTCTCTTAAAATATCTCATGTGTGGTTCTTACTCTGTACTATTCTGTGTTGTGTCTCTAATATATCAGATAATATTGCTAATATATCAGGTGAGTGTTAAGAAAATTAAATGCTTGCTTTATTACTTTATTCTACAATTACTTAAGTAGGGGACTGGAGTAGCATTTTTATAGATGGTATATTATTTAGGTCTGGCTTATAGCATACCTGAGAAATGGAAAATTCCCAGTATGAAGAATAGCCACCAGTATTACAAATAGTTGTGCCATTAATTGCCCCCAATGTGAAGGCAGGGGAGTAAACATAATTTATATTTCACATTTTCTGTCTTCAGTTTTCAAATAGTGTCATGTTATGCTTGAAATAATTGAATATCTGCTCTCCATGTAGGTACTTAAAAACTGTAATCAAATCCTGCTTGCAGTGATTGCACTGCTCATGGGATCATAACTTACAGGAGGTCATGATCCTATTTCTACTCTACTGTATTACCCCATTTATGCATCCAAGAGTTATACAATCCTTGTTGGCCGCAGCAGTTCTAACAAAAGTTCATGTTTATCTAGCTGTCCAGCAACAAGTTCAAAATCTTTGTTTCTGCTTTCTATGATAAAAATAATATTCTGTGGATCTTAAATAATATTTGCATCTTCTCACAAGTTATTGATTTAGTTCAAATTATTTTATATCCAGAGACTCACATAAAAGTAATTCTCCCTCTGCCCCCCCCCCGTTCTATAATTTTAGATTTCTTCTGTATAAAATGGTTGAGTTAGTGACTTTTTCCCCTGACCTTCCAGCCTCTTTGAACAATAAGTTTTCTACCTGAATTTTAGGTTCTCCTTGCATTTTTCTCTGCCTAGTTAAGTCATACAGGCAACAAATGCTTAAGAAAACTCAAACCTTTATAGTAGGTCATATAATAAACTGCTTCCACAGTCTTCTGGGATTTAAACTATTTTTATTTTTCTCTATTTTCAAAGTAATTGTCTTGTTTCTCTTCTGAAGATCCAGTCCCTTGCTTTTTCACCCTGGGTAGCCCTAGTGGACTTTCATTGTGTTGGAGTAATAGTGGGGTCGTGAGTGGTGTTTGGTTTTAAATACTAGCTGCATCAGGCAAGTGTCCTGGGGTCAGTGACAGTCTGGCATGATTGCAGCTTGTTTTGATCTGGGTGTACCTCGGGTGTGTTGCCTGTAGCATAGGAAAACCATGGATGTTGCTTATTTTGAGCAGGTCCTTAAACTACTATAGTGAAATAAGTTACATAAACTGCTTAATAAGCAACAAGTTTAATGCTGTGGTTCAAATACGTGATTATACCTGCATGGTTATTTCTATCTAATTTTCTTTAAAGGATTAAATAAGAATAGGCAGAGCATTTTACAGTAAGCACTAAAACTAACTTTTCCTTCTACAGGCTTGACAAATGGCTCTATGCTGCAGTTGAATGCTTGGAGTATTTCCCAGACCAATTCATAGTGATGGTTAGCCAGCAGTTACCTCAAGGCACTAACAAACCCAGCAGTCTGAATACATACAAGAAGATTCTTTTTGACATTATAATAAAGTACTATAGTCAAAAGAAGGACTCACTTCTTGGCACTCAGGATCTCGCTATTCATTCAGGAATTATAGCACTTATAGGTAAGACCAACCTGGAACAAAAAACACAAGTGAAAGCTGTATAAAGGATGTAACTTGCTAAGTGTTAATTGACTGAATCATAACACCATTTGCAATGCTATTGCAGGTGCACTTCAATTTTTAGGTTGGAAGGGAACACTCGAGGTCGCTAGTCAGAACCTCTGCTCAAGGCAAGGACATATTTCAAAGTTAGATCAAGTTGCTTAGGGCCTAGTCCAGCTGGCTTTTGAAAAACTGTAAGGACAGAGATTCATCAACCTCTGTGGGCAACCTGTTTCAATACATAACTACTCTTGTGAAAATTTCTTACCGCCAGTCAGAATTTCCCTTATTGCTACTTGTGACTGATAACATAAAAGTAAAATCATTGCTATGAAGTTTTCTTGTTTAATGGAATCACAGAATCAGTTTGGTTGGAAGAGACCTCCGGGATCATTGAGTCCAGCCCTTGCGCTAACACCCCCATGTCAACTAGACCATGGCACTAAGTGCCACCTCCAGTCTTCTCTTCAACACCTCCAGGGATGGTGACTCCACCACCTCCCTGGGCAGCCCATTCCAATGCCTAACGACCCTTTCTGTGAAGAAATGCCTCCTCATTTCTAGCCTGAACTTCCCCTGGTGCAGTTTGAGACTATAAACCAGAGACTATTAACCAGAATAAGGTTTTGCAAGTTCTGGACTTAGGGCTTTTTTAGTAATAGAAGTTATTTAAAATTATAAAAGGGGTTGTTGAGATTGTGATTCAGGCTGTGATCCCCCTCAAAAAAACTCCCTACATATGGTCACAAGTAAAACAGAAGGGTTTAATTTAAATACAAGTTCAACATTAGTCCTACCCTAAATAGGCCCTGTTACTACTTCAGTTCTATAGAGTTTACAGGAGTGTTATCAAAAGTTTCAGTTTATAGAAAACTATGACAAGCTTACTGGCATAGGAGCATAGTTGGCCTGTGTAAAAGTTGGAGCAGAGTGGTGAATCCTGTGGCCAAAACCTCATGAAAATACAAAAGGCAATATTTTTATCAGTATTTTGCTAAGGAGAGAAAAAAAAATCAAATTATAATAGAAGTCATGAAAGGGAAACTATTGCAAAATTACATAACCCATCCACAAAAAAAGAAGAATGCTAATTTGAAATAACTGACTTAGCTACTGGTAAGTTCTGCTAAATCTTCACTTAAATTAAAGAGGTGATAGTTCATATATGCACTTTAAATACAAAACTGATACAAACCAATATTATAGAATATTACTAAATTAGAGAATCAAAACAGCCAAATCTGTAGGCAAGGGAAAAGACAGTGTCATAATTCTGCTGAATTACTGTAATGCTTTAGTTGCCTGTAGGTCTTTTCCTTATTAAGTATCTGCTTGATCTAAACTGCATGACCCGTGAATGTCTAGGGCTGTTCTGCTTTATTATTCTTGCTTTAATATTGTCATCTTTCCAACTTGAGTGAGGCTATCTCGCAAGCAGTTCCTAATGCATTGTTTCTTTTTGATGAAGTGGTAGCCATAATTTTATCATTAGGAAATTATTCTCTGTTTGAATATATTAGTTTGTGTCCTAGTTCATACTATATCACTGTTAGGAGATTGTGCTTAACTATTTTACAACCATTTTTCCCTTTCAGTTCCATGGAATAGATTATGGTCATTAGTGCATAACAACTTGGATTCTAATAATTTTCAAGTAGAATCCAGCACGGTTAATCTTACTTTGATAAAGTGCTGTTGTTCTGACTCTAGTACAAGAGAGCTCAAACTAGCTATGAATATCTACATATTTAAAACACTTTCAAAATTAATTTGGGAACTGCTGCAGCTAGCTAAAGCACAACTCCATTTTGTTATCAATGTATATATGGTTATAACTGCATTTTCCTCAGTTTTTAAACAGTTCGATTTAAGGTGGCTGATAATACAGAACTGTTGTGAAGGCAAATGTTGCTGTGCTTGGTGCCTTTAAAATAAACAGATGTAGAGTACTCTACTTGCGTTACAGATGAATGCAGTTGGTCAAACCAATCCATGTGGTTTATCGAACCTTTTTACATTGGAACTTTTTCTTTTCTTCTCCCTGCCGCCCACCCCCCCCCCAGTCTTTTAAAGTGGCTCAGTAAGGCTTTAATCACAGATCAGAGAAACTTTTAAACTTTTCTCTAGAAATGATATAACTTCCTGTCTTCATATCTACACTTTTACCTGTCTTGATCGTGTCCTTTGGCAATTCTCTTTCCTGTCTTTTTTTTTCTGTCTGCCCTCCTTTTGGAAAAGGGTCACTTACTTACTTTTTTGGTGTTGTTTTTAAACGAAGACAGTTTCAAATGGCTTGTGGTACACCCCTGAAAGTCCTGGATTATTTCTTGTAAAATACAACCTCTGTCCCAGTAACAGGACAGAGGCCAGGAAATCATATGTAGGTTCTATTACTGTATCTGGCCTCATCTTGCCTTAAGAAAGTTACTTGACTTTTTGATAGTTCCTCACTTTCAAAGTGAAGATAACTAGAATTATCATCTAAAGGGATTTTTATTGGAGATTATTTCCATCTTATCACATTTCCTTGAGAAACTCATAACCTAATGGCTTAAAAGGGACAGAGGGGGAATGACCAAACAACAACAAAAAAAATGAAAAACCCCAAACAAACAAAAAACCCCAAACCAACACCAAAACCCCCCCAACAATCCTCAAAGCAATGAGAAAGTTAGAATTGTTCAGCTCACTAATTACTTTGAGATGAATCTTGGAATATAATGCAAAGATGTGTAAATGCAAATACATCACTTCAGTGTTTGCACATGGTACACAGAACATAATAATGTCCTGTATATATTGTTCAAGCACATCTGTTCCCTGACTAGCTGTGGGACAATGGCTTTAAGCTTTTAGTGATTAAATGCTGTTATTGAGTCTTGTCAAAAGGTTTTAAAATCACTGAGATAACCTGCTTTGTTTGGAGGGAAACACCCCCCAAAAAATTCTATTAATATTGGGATTTAAAGATGTATTCTTGACTCTCAAAATGAACAGTTGCACAGGATACACTGTTTTACTCCATTGCAGAAAAAGGAAAAACAAATCAAGCTCTAGAGGCATCACAACTTTATTTAAAATTATTAGCACCAAGCGTCCGAGAAGAACTACATAGACTCCTGACATTCGTAGTCATTGCATCAGAATCTGAGGGCTACAAATTACAGAAACAAGTAAGTATCTGTTACATTTAGTGTGGGAAATAGCACATTCCTATAGTAAAGCTAACTTCTTTTGGTCCAAAGTTAGAAGTATTCTATTTGTTGCCTTCCAATGCGATTTGTTTAAAAACAAATATGTTCTTCCCACTGATCGCATCCTGTTATACTTAGTCTTTGCTAACACATTGCAAGTAATCTAATGCCAGATCTGGGTGATTCTTTTTCTAGTTTGAGAACAGATCAGTGATCATCAAGACTTGCACAAAGTTCATCTTACAAAATAAGACATTGTCAAAACCACAGGCAGAACTGCTGACTCAGTTTCTGATGGACAATCACTCCGAGCTCTTCAAGGTAGCATTTTCCTTACCTCATTGGCTTTGTCATTTTAAATGTTAAATGCCATGAAGTGCCTTTTTGGAGGTCACAGGTCTGAGCAGCAGGGTTTAATGTTCTATCTGTTGCAGTTTAGTGTTGCAGTCAAGCAGAGTGAGAAGCTATTTCAGGCTTTGGAGGACAGCTTTTTGTGAGCTTTGCAATCCTTTATATTTAATATCTTCTCTCTTTATTTGCATCATTTGTATTAAGAAAATATGAAAATATTAAGAAATTTTTATAGAGGCCTTTTGGCACTGTGTTTCTGATGGCTGCCTGCCAAATTTTTAGGCTTCTTAGTGTCTTCCTTCTTCAGAAGTCAGCTGACATACTCTGAGTGATATATAAGATAGCATGCTCTGGTGCTCCAGCATACACGTTCATCTTTGGCCACTCTAAGAGTTCCTTTAGTATTTTGAAATGTTAACTTCTAAATTAAAGAAAATAAATAGAACCACAAAATGAAATGGCCTTTCTATTTAACTTGATCAGTTATGTAAATACAGACATATTTTATAGTTTATTTATATTCCATCATATTGTCATACATGTGCAAAGATGCAACCTTCCTAGACCCTATATTGACTTGCTGAATTCAACCAGTGCATTACAGTTGTGATGCTTCTCTGTTTTCCTCAATTATAAAATTCCTCATTAAAACATTCAACTGAATAGAGATGAACTAAATATCTCAGCTGTTATAAGATAACTGTAAAATGTTGTAGACTTTTATTGTCCAGTTAAAATAAGCCTCACAGAAACACTGATTTGGTTTCAGTAAACTACTGGCTTTCATTCTTATACAACACATTCATTTCCACTTCTGACCTCAGCTGAAGAGACATGGGAGATTTTTATTTTTTTTTAAATTAGCTCCAATTTAACTTGAAAGTATCACATGGTTAGTGTGAGTTTTGTATGTGTTAATATACAGCCAAAACTTTTTTTTTTTGTATTAAGAGTTCTGACGTAAGGGTTAGGGCTCTGATTCATGGCTGGAGATGCAGCTAGATCTGAAAAATTAAGTGCCCGCTGCTTCGTAGCAGTGACAGCAGAGTGGATGGTGGCTTGCTCTTTCACAGCTGCAGTTGACAGCCTTGTGTATTATATAAGCTGAAATCAGCTTAAGGTCTACACTATGGGTTTTGCCGCAGTTCAGTGGAACACAACATCTAGAACATCTTGCTTCCTACTTCTTTGGCCAGAAATATGAGAAATGAACATAGGTATTTCAGTAAAGCTATGTGGTTTAGTGCAATTCTGTGAGAGACTTTGAATGTGTACCTAAATAAAGGTAGGCATAGATTCTTCTGCAGTTAATTATGGTTTTTAAATTGATCATCTGAAAGCTTTAGATTCTCAGAATACATAGGTATTGCTTTTGTAATTTCTTCATTGGTTGTATTTTCAGACTCCTTTAACTCTTCTGGAACTAACTAGTAGGAAACTTGAGAGTTTGCTAGAAGGACAAGATCCAGATATCAATTCAGGTAGATGATACACATTTTTATATAAACCATTCTATACAAATTGGTTTATCATCAGTTGACTATAATTTTGCATATATTCTTTTCCTTTATTAGAAGTGAAGCATTAAAGTGATTAGTGGCTAATTTGCTAAATAACGAAATTATCTTTTATAAGCAAAACACTGATCTCTGAATATTAGAGAATAAGGATTCTATTAATTATCTAGTTTGAACACATTACAGATTTTTTTACCAAATAATTACTTCTGGAGAAATTAGTGCAAAATATGCTTCTTGAAGTGACTTGCTTGTTTGGTTTGTAAATTTGAAGTGATTTTATATTTAGGAATGGCATTCTTACATTTCTGTCGCAAGACACCTAAAAATTCTCAGAGCGCTTAGTAGTTTGAGGTTCTGATAGACGTCTTGAGCACAGTCCTTGATTGCTTAGTGTTTTGAAGAACTCCTTTCCTGGGTAAGCACAAAGTTTATTAAGGGCTTAAGACTTACAGAAGGGTAGTATAGCCTAAAAGGAAGGCATTTGACGCTTGATGTGTATGTGGGCTTAGTGTTTGCCAGTTCGTTTCTTTTAGGAGCTAACATTACATCTGGCCGTGCTGCCAAAAATGTCTTTCAGCACTGTGATTAAAAGGATTGGCTTAAATAATTGAGTTTCTCTCTGACTCTTTACCTTCTTCCTTTTGACTTCTGTGTTGCCAGTGCATTATGTGCTTTAACATTGAAGAGAAACCATTAGGGAATTGAGTGACACTGTAAGTTATTGTCCTGTTTAATACTGTACTTTTCAGGCAGCTGCTGTATTAAATAGTTTTGGTACAGAATCCTTTACCATCTGTGTTGGGTTCTGGAATGTGTCCAAACTGCTTCTGGTTCAGGATTCTGAGTATTGCATATTATGTAGCCAAAGAATACAAAGATGAGCAACAGAGGAATGAGTTGCCTGTCTGCAGTACTCTTGGAACCTGTGTGACTTCCATCAGCACATTGAACAGACAACTAAAGTACAAACCCCATACTAAATTCGCCCTACTACGATTTGGAGTTTCATTCTGTAAATGCATATAGCTTCCATCTACTTGTTGAAATAGCTAGTTTTATCTGATTGTAAGATCTCCAGCATGGCACATTCCTGTTTTCCTATGTGCTTCATATTCTGGTGTCATTTTCCCTTTTCTCATGGAGGAGACAGAAGGAGAAAATCTTTCCTGGGAGCTACTGAGCATTCTTGGCTGGTGAACTTCTGAAGTGCAGGTGGGAGCAGGAGGGAAGGCAGGAGGACCCTGAAGAGAAAAGGAGTCTGTCTAATCCAGGAGGATAATCCTTAGGTCTGCTGGAAATACAAACCACTAAAAACACTGAGGGAACTCTGGGGTTGGTTTTAATCTAGTAAGCCTCTTGAAACCACTAGACTAAAGGATCCACCCTGAAATTTTAAGAGTTAATCTCTTTGCCATAAGTTGTTAAGCTTTCCCTTTTGAAAGAGCTATCTTTTCTTGATCTGACTCTACTAAACCATAGAAAGTATTTCACATTTGGTGTTTCATAGACTCATTGTAAAACAAGGGAAGGACAGGTCCATGTGGAAAATTCTGGCACCTCAGGTTATTACCACTCTCTCTGTGAAGCGTTAAGAAGATGGTGTTTGTATAGAAGGAATAGTAAGATTATTTTTTTTTCCCTTTAAGCAATTGACACTTGTTCAGCTAACTTGTTCTCTAATATGTATAGGAGGAAAAATTGTGGAGTAGCTGAATGCCAGTCTTTCCTCAGGCCAGAACTCGCCTGCCCAATGATGGGACTCCAGTCCTTGCAGTGCAGTACTCTACTGCATAGGTTCACAGCCTTTCAGTAGCTAATTCATGCTTGAGTTGCGTATCTCTCGGGATCTGGTTCCTTGGTCTACCATCACCCTGAACTGCTGCCTGTTACACCACCTCTGCTTCTGGTGCCCAAACCGTGCTGAGCTGTGTAGTCACCTAAAAGTTCCTCAATTCAATTCCTGATTTCAGGGGTGTGGTTCGGAGGCAACTGTTTCTCCAAAGTATTTATTCCCTTGCATTATGTACTGGGGCTTGCTATAGGTCTGATTCATGATCCATTGATTCCCTGTGCATGACAACTGCAAGGTGCCATTCTTCTTGAGATGCATTCTTCATTACGGTTTCTGTTTGCAAAAACTGTATTGCCTCTTTGTCTTGCAAGCCTGTTTGCAATACAAAATCATCTGTGATATTGCACTTGTAACTGCTTTTCAATTTTATTTTTGTAATTAATGTTTAGATATTCAACCGTACTCGGTGAAGGGCTATATGTTTCATTGTTTGTAGAGAACTGTAATCGCATCTGAACTGGAATATCAGTATACCTATGTTTCTGATCATATTTTTTTAATCAGGCTCTTACATGATGCATTGAACTTAATCTGAACCTCTGATTTCTTACAAAGGCTTCACCTTCTGTCAGCGCATGACAACTAAAGAATATGAAGATCAAAAACAACAAACAAATCGGTATCTTCTCGCATTGGTTCAGGAGATGGACAATGACCCCACTATTCCTTTGAAGCAGAAGAAGAAATTAATTAAAGAATTTCGAAAATACCATTCTCTTATCTATTGTAGTGGTTGTAAAACTACATGTGAATTTTGTACTCTAAATGGTTAGACATCAATGCAGCCACTTCTTTTTTTTTTTTAAAAAAAGGGGAGGATGCATATGAAAATTGCTCATAATATAAACTGTTTTCTTCTTATGTCCTTACATCTTCATTTATAGGAAACTACACTTCTCAAAGTTACTATGCTGCTAAAAAGCATTAATTCTAATTAATGACTCTTAAGCAAAAGGTACTTAATTACTTGTCAGTTAGTAATAACAGCACACTGCTTGTGCTGCTTTGAGTTCAGGGTTTGGCACTTTTTTCCTTCTGTCCCACAACCCCATGGCTTTCTAGCTGAGCCAAGACCACATTCGGAGCCATGCTTGGGTTGATAGATAATCAGTAAGGCTTTTAATCTTTTCTATCTGTAGTTCATAATCTAACTGTACCATAATCTTAAACTGTAGATTAATACTCCTATGAGTACTGTAAAAGTGTACGAAGTGTGTCAAAAATGCTAGGAGCAGGTCAGTGGGTTTTGAATCTGTGGCAGGCAAGATTCATTAGGCAGGGGAGCTGTGTGTGTTTGCAGTCAGTAATTATAGCCTGTTACTCCTTCCCTGCTCTGGTAGACTGAGCTGCTGCTAATTTGGCGGTTATGCAAAAGGCAGTAAAAAAATAACATTTTTGAAAAAACTTGAGAAATAATAATGTTATTTTAGATCTCTTGGTGTACTTAAGCAATATATTTTAAGATGAGAATACTTTGATGGTGTCCAGTTATTTGCCATAAATACTTTGATAGCATTTATGGATTCAGAGGGCAAAGCTAGAAAGCACGTTCGCCTGTCTTGACGCATTGATGGTTAACTGTACATTGACAAGGAAATGTTGATTCAAATTATTAAATAAATATGCAATATAATGTTATAGGGGTTAAATTACTTCTTCCATCCTCATGACAGACATTTGGTCATGTATTGGACATACAAACATAGAACTGAGATTGGAAGGGACCTCTGGTCTAGTCGCACCACCCCAGCTCAAAGTGGAGTTAATTAGTGCAGGTTGCTTCAGGCCTTTTCCAGTCGAGTTGAGAATATCTCCAAGGATAGAGATGCCACAACCTCTCAGGTGAGTCTGGTCTGGCATTTGACCAGCCTCACAGTATTTAAAATAAATAAATAAGTATGTAAAAAACCAACCTACCTTACATTTAGGTAGAATTTCTTGCATTTCAGTTTGTGCCCATTGCCTCCTGTCCTTTTACTGGGCACCCGAGAAGTGTCTGGCTCACTCTTCTTTACTCCTCCCCTGAGCCCTTTCTTCTCAAGGCTAAACGATTGCAGCTTTCTCAGCCTCTTCCTTGTATGACAGATGCTCCGATCCCTTGTCATCTTCACGGCCCCTTTGCCAGACTAGCTCCACTATGACCATGATTTTTTTTTTTATTGTGAATATGCTTCTTTAGGTATCTACATCCTCAATTGCTCTTCAAATGTGTGGTCAAGTTACCAGGATACTAAAGCTTTCTGAAAGCAAGTGCTTCTTTCTTTTCTTTTATCAATTCAAATGGTTACACAGTTAGATATAACCAATTATGTGTACAGGTAATGGGTTGTGTTAACATGCATATTTCAAGTAGCCTCATTTATATGATCTGGCCCTATTAGAAGTCAGGGAACGTAGTTGCAATCTCTGTCCACGTGTCCCTGTTTATGCACTTGTTATTTAACAGTGACTGTCCCAGTGTAAAATACATAATTTCTGGAGGAGTTAAAATGACCAAGTTTCACCTTTTAGAGGTGAATGCACTAATTACTAGACTACAGGGCCACATATTCTTTTCTAGCCCTTTGGGGGGGGTTCAGTCATTCTCCCAGAAAAGGGAGCATTTACAGAAGTAGGTTATTGAGAATTTTAAACAGGAAAGTATTTCCTGAGTAAGTGCTTCTGATGTTGAGTAGTGGCAGAAGGGGATTTTTAGTTCTATTTCCCCCCCCCTTCAGTCCCTTTACTGGGTCTCACTCAAAATACTGAACCTGGTAACAGGAAGGGTGATAACATGGTAATTTGTAGGCTAGATGGGCTGGGAATTGCTTTGGGAAAAACTGCATTTTTAAAAAACAAATTCTTGCACTTTGGCTTGATTAGATTTTCTTGTGCTAATTTAAAGATGATAATAAAGCATTGCATAAAAAGTGATGAATCAGTCTATGATTTCATAGTGCTTTCTTAAGGAAGAGGCAGCTGAGTGGGTGTAGAACCAGGTATCAAACAGTAAGAAATGCTTTGAGTGGACAGCAGGAGTTCATAGATGCCAGGTGCTTTCCTTCAGTTCATGGGACAGGGAGTCAAGATTGACTGAGTTCTGGAAAGGAAGAGCTCTTGAGAGCCCTGTTTTATTCACTCACCCTGACAGGAGGACCTGCTAATTTTTAACCTTCTGTTGAAGGAAAGGTGGTATTTTACATTTAAAAAAAACTGCTGAACAGAACAAGTTTGGTGAAAAACAGGTTCCTGTTTTTCATTGTTACACTTTCAGTTAAATTCCAAAATAGGAAAGCTTTACTGGACTTTAGAAAGTTCTGTCACTTATTTTTAACAATATTTGACAGGAAGTCATCTGGTAGGGAAACTTGAACCTCTCACTCATTTCTATGATTTCTAGCACAGAGCTATCAAAATAATTACCAGTATGAATTTGTATTTGAGGTATAAAATTTCTGGAGTGAAGAGTTTAGTCTCGAGGTACTTTGCAGTGCAGTCTTATCAAAGAACAAGTGATGCTACTTTCAAAGTAAGGAGGCTTACTTATATTCATAGAGCATTCATGTTTGCTTCTACCAAGGAAACGGTTCATTGTTGCTTTTGTGGGAACAATGTGTGTATTTCCTTACGTCCCAGCTAAAGCATGCTGATAATTTTGTGAAGCAGTTATTAAAAAAACTAAAGGTTGGACACAAGGGCCTCTACACATGGCTATCAAAATAACAGCGCACTAGACTTATTCATGTCTTGTACTTTCTTACACAGAGTAATACAACTGCTGTATCCAAGAATCTGTAGGTAATGTTCCCATGCATTAACACCTTAGCTGCCTCCCGTGTGGCTCATGTAGCTATTAAGGAGGAGGAGGGTACCTCTTCCATTCCTTTCAGCAGGTTAGACTGGAGGAAAGCCACCATGAACTGGCAGTCCAAAGTAAAAAAGATCATATTCAAGAAGAAAGATAATCTCAGAAAACTATTTAATTGGGGCAGTTCATCATCAAGATCTCCCATTCCCTGGGGTGTTGGCTTCTTTTCTATGTTGCCCTTATGCTGAGACCTCTGTGTAGCAAGAGGAGCAGCTCATGAAAATATGGAATGTTGATCAGAACAACATGGCTCTAACTCCACATGCTTATCTGAAGCAGAAAAGAAATGGAAGCCAGAGATGAGGATATCTCTGTATCTTAATGCTGTCAGTGAGCCTAGGGGCTGGTGGTATGCACCTTTGCTTCCCCTGTTCACAGCTCTGACCGTTCAACTACATCAATTACTCTTGGGTAACAGATCGTCACAAAGAACAATTTTTCAGAAGGCAATAGTATCTAGCTGTGCTTCAGAGTAACCCTCTCTGGACCACTGGAGGGGCATGAAATCCAGTGAAGCCTCTGCTTGCTCCCTGCTATCAACCGCCTAAGTCTGTCAGTGCTCTTTGTTCCAAGATAGGTAAGTGTAAGTATACTTATCGGTTTTACACAGGGTCAGACAAGAGTGGGAATATGAGACTTCAGCTGAGAACAGGATTTGCCTGTACCACCGAATATCACCAGCCCAGCTAAAAGGGCAATTCCCCTGCAGCCATGAGCTGCATCAGGTCAAGATCAGCGTCAGCACCTGTGTGTCCATTATCCACCCTGTGCGAGTGCAAGCCAGGTGGGATACCCCCTACTAGTTCAGACCTCTGAGCCTTCTAGCTGGCTATTAGCCTGTACCGTTGCTCTTTCCCCTCCTGCATGCAATGGCGCAGAGGCTGATGGCACAGTAACAGATCTGGTGCCACCTTTGCTCTGTACATGGAACTAACATGCACTCTAGATAAACACAAATGCCCCAGAGTGCATGGATACGACACAGATGGGATTACCCAGGACACAGCTGCAAGCTTTGGTTCACCTCAGACTGCTTCCGATGTCACCTTTTCAGAAAGGTAAGGGGAGTGACAGGAAGCTTATTTGCTCAGCCATTGTTTAAAACAAAACAAAACAAAACCCCACAACCTACTAACTCAAAACCCCTTTTTAAAAAGGAATTGTTCAAATTACTCTTTCCTCAAAGCCTAAGTATACTTTCAATAGCAGTGGTCACATTTCAAGTATATTCCTCTCATGACTATTCACTAAAATAACCAAAAATAAAACTCGCATATTCCTTTTCAGGATAGGCAATCTCAAAGACACCTTTTGAGATGAGTTTGATGTCCATTCACTTGCATGCACGAGTTAGAATAATACCAATTTTGAAAAAAAAAAAAAAAATTTCTTGATTTTTTTCTATGTATTAGTGTCACACCAGTACAAACATTCAATATTTTTATTGCCTCATGCATTGAGGTTTTCTGCAGTAAGAATACAATGAAGCTATCAGTAAAAGATAAGAATATAATGAAATTACAATGAACATATTATTTCATACTATTAGGCTTGTAAAACTTCATTTTTAAACTCTGAAGATTTTTTTTCCCAACCCACTTCAATACAGGAAAGCTAAAACACAATCCCAAGAGACAGAAAACAGGCTGTAGTTCAAAGAGTTCCATTCTGAGTAAAACAATGGAATGGCAATGTATCAAACTATGCTACCTATATATCAAATTTCTCTTCACAGATATTGTGTCCATGTTCTTCGTAATCTTCTCTAGTTACTACCATGTCTTCAAAATCATCATTTTCAGAAATGAGCTTCCCCCCTTCCCAAGAATAAGTAATAGGGCTGAAAAATGAACAAAGTTATTGTTATTCATTTGTAAGTTCATTTAAAATAGAAGTATGCAGTGATGATTTCCAAGACTTTTATTT